GTGTGTGTGTGTGTGTGTGTTTGAGTCATGTAATGATGCTGATGAGTCTTACAGAAGATGGAGGGCTGGCGTGTGAATGAAACTCTCTTTAGGGATTTCATTAAAGCCGGACTTGACGAATGATCTGTAAAATAAAAATAATAATAATAATAAATAGATAAAAAGATATTTCAACCAGCCTCTGAACACAAACTGAAGCTGCCCGATGCTCGGTATTGCTATTGCTCGTGACTGCTGCTGGCTTACAGTGAGATGACATCAGGTGGGAAGCTCCTCGGTATTGATCCGGTGCTGGCACACAGGGCGTTATCTTTGCTGCAGGTGCATGAAGCGGGGCAGCGCGCGTGTCTCCTGCGGCTGCCGTGCAGAGCCAGCATCAGCGAGAACAAGCAGCAGAAGAACACGGTCCTCCTGAGACCCATCTTCAGCTTCAGCGATACAGTCCCGACGAGTGCGCTGCCGCGAGCCACGAGCTCATACCGGAAACAAATCAACCAAATGATAATGTATGGCTATTGTTGTCCAGATCTGTGTGAACCGCACGAGCAGGTAGAATCCATAGAAATGCATTCAGCGCAGAGAAGCACAGTGTGAGAGTGGGCGGGGCTTAGCCGATACACTTGTCTCAAATGGGTCAGATGCGACGGATTTACACAATTTTCCGATTTTCGTTTCTTCACTGTGTACCTTCAATTGCATTGCCTATTAAAATGTGTCCGTGACATCAAATGTTTTTTCATGGCTGCTGAAGCAGCACGCGCCCAGAGTCACATGGGTCCTGTTACTTTCCTCAGAGCTGGGCACACTGAACCAGTGACAGGCTTCTGATTACTGGCGAAAGTCTTTTATTTAATAATTAAATAGAGGTTTGCGACGACTATTTCCCTTTGTTTGTCAGGGGATGCTCCTCAAATTGCTAGTTTAAGCGTTTTACGTTTTAATCTACTGTTTGTACTCGCAGAAATGCCAGATTTGAATGTGAATCTGTGAAGGAGCTGCTTCGTGAGCATCACAGCGCCACCGCGTGTCTGTAAGATGTCATCAACAGTTAGTAACATGCTGGAGGCCACAGAAAACAATGCAGCGAGTGGCTCTCGCTTTGGTCAGATCATCCCTGCTTGACCAAAGCAAGCATCACAAGAGTATCCCTTACAAAGAAGAAGTTTATTCAAGTGTGCTATTAGTATACTTCTTATAAACTAAAAAATAGGAAAGTATACTTTCAGTCTAATTTGATGTACTTCTCAGAAATATACTTAAAATTACATTTAAGTATACTTGACTTGTACTTAGGAAAAGTCTAAATATATTTGAGCTATACTTGTGCTTGTATGCACAGAATGTTGTCATTGTTATACGGTAGAGGCGCTAGTACACATCTTCTGTACAGAATTTCCAAAACACAAGAGAAGAAGAAACCGAAACAACAGACGCTTCCACATGTATTCTAACACCATCATCAGACATAAAACAGCATCAAAACTGTGCAACGGTATGGAATAAAATGTCGAGCAATGAAGAGGTAATAATGACTGTCAAGCTTTGAGGTGTTGATCGACTCATTTTGATTATCATTCTGAATCCAATTCATACTCTTTTTTCAGCTTTTTGTACAAAATCTTGTTAATTTCTTTAATTTTTAAATGTTTTATTTATAAAACTTACCCACATTCAAGTGTTTGAAAAAAGAAAGCATGAAGCTAGAATAAAATGTTTTTGTTTACAAGCAGATACTCTGTTCTTCTGATGTTTTGTATCTTCAGATATTCATAACAAAATATATACAAATTAATACCTAAATAGAGATGTAGTTGTATACTTAAAGTATGATGTAAAGTTCACTTAAAGAAAACTTACGAGTATACTTGCGGTATAAAACTACTAAACTAGTAGTTTACTGAGACTATACTTCAAAGTGTACTAAAATGCTACAAGTATTTAATTAGTAAACTATCAGTGTACCTATAAGTTCACTTTTTTTAGTAGCGCTGGGCGGTATACCAGTTCATACCGAATACCGGTGTTTATTTTTGTTATGATAGTAATTTTTAAAATACCGCAATACCGGTGTATGTCGCTTAAACAACATTCGGAACGCGACACTGTTTGAAAGAAGTCTCTTTTCACTGTTGCACTGTGGTGAGGGAACAGCTGTATGTGTTACTAAGCGTGAAAGCTCAGAAACTGAAGCTGTAGAACTAATAGAACGTGATGACACAGAAGAACTCATCCACAATATCCACACTGACCTCCACAAATATCCAGCGCCGCTGCCATCAGCTCCCGCGTCTCACACACACCAGCGACTTTAGCACCTCTCTCGGCGTGTGTTCTGTGCAGTGAGCAGCAGAGAAGCACCGCAGCCGACTCCTCAATAAATGAGTACAGCACAGCGTTTCCTAGCACCTGTCGCTAACTGATTGTTTGGAATTATAAATATGAGCGTAGTTCGTCTGTTAATATCACATGCACTTGTTTGTTTGTAGTTGCTTTTAGTTTGTTACTCAGACGCAGGCAGTGCGCTGCATGAGACAAAAAAGTGATCTAGCCAGAACAACACATAGCCGCTCTTTAGTGTAGATGCATGCTGATTTTATCAGACGATGCCGTGATTATAAATGAGAGTGACTCCTGGTTAACATGTATTAAAAGGGGTCGTGTTTAGTCACTATTTAGTGTGGTATTTTTTGACAATATTCACTCGTCATGACAGTAAAATAGAGTCAATATACTGCAGTATTTCCTCTCAATCAGTAGAAAATACGTGATATACATTTTTGGTCATACTGCCCACCACTATCTCATAGTATATTACAGAGCTGCCAACTCTCACGCATTCAGCATGAGACTCATGCAATTTACACTTTTCTCACGGTCTCACTCCACACATCCATTTTCTGCACCAATTAAAAGCACCCTCAGTTAACACTATAATAATAGGATACTGGCGAAACAGATTTGGTAAAGGCCCCGGTGCGCATTTGGGTTTGCAATCTGGAAATTGCCAAAAGCTTTTATTTACAACATGTTTTCATAGCGCTGAACAATTAATGTAGCCAATCACAGACATATCTGTTGATTTCGTGAACACCAGTGATTGGCCATTGCGTTCACTCACCTCTAAATGCTGGAATGCACACTTACAAATCCTCTCACTATAACATGACATAAGAGGTTTATTGATTATAAAGGAACTTTATAATCACTCACTTAAGTTCATAGCGCTCGCACGATGTTCTGTTAATAAAATCTTTACACTGCACAATGAATCTCTTATTTACATCATATCTACACTTTGTTATATAGAGAGGATTCAGCACTTGAAGAGTTCATTTGCAAAAACGGATAACTCCGTTTTTAACCATTTTCAAAAATCATGTTTTTTTCATTGTGCATTCCAATTAATCTCAATCAAACTGCAGTTGGGTTATTTTGATTAGGTTAAAAAAATAACAAAAAATACAGCTAACTAACAATAAAACATGATAACATAAAAAAAAAACATGATTTTTGAAAATGTAAAAAAAATACGGAGTTATCTGTTTTTGCAAATAAACTCTTCACTTGACAAAAACTCAGCATTTTAAGAGGTGACTGGATTCTAACTTAAACACTTCTGGTCATTGCGATTAACCCTCGTTCCCTGAAGGAGGGAACGGAGACGTCACGTCGGTAATGACCGATGAATTGGGATCTTGCTTAGAGAGACCAATCCACTTTGAGTGTAAACTAAACGAGCCAATGCACATTGACATGCGATGATTGCATCCAGCTGCCGCTGATCACAGTGCGAGTATAACTAGGTAGCAGGTGCAACGCATACTCAGGTTTTCGCTGAGGAGCCGAACCAGTGACCCGGCCGCTCAGCAGTGGTACAGCAGCTGTGGCAACGGGACGTGACGTCTCCGTTTCCTCCTTCAGGGAATGAGGGTTACATACGTAACCGAGACATTCCCGTTCAGTCGGTCGGAATTGGGATCCCTACCAAAACGCCATGGATGCTGCCCCTTCCAGTGTTCTGTGCGAGCCTGCTGCTCCCCTTTTTCCACTTGGAACGGGAATGTTGTGGAAGCCCCATCCTTTCCGAAGGAGTTTTCGGAAGCACTTGCACATATGAACAACCATTTAGGTGCATATGGAAGATTAGAGGTGTGTAAGGGTTCTTCCATAAAATTTTCAGGAGGCATTCATAGAGTCTTCAAATTTCCATTTTATTACCTGCCACACTCATGTACTGATCACAAAGATGCAGGAAAACCAAGAGAACAAAAACTAACTGATACATGCGATATCAGCACATTACTCAGTTCTGGGCCTCAGATGTTTCTCCAGGGATCCCTCACCAGAACTAACCTCAGCCATAGGAAAATCACACCCTTTTAACAAACAGATCAAACCATTTTGTCAAGCGAGAATTTGTATCTTTCATCCAATTCAACCATTTCAGAGCTTTATGATCTGTTTCGATAATGAAATCTCGGCCCAGCAAATAATATTTCAACGAGTCAAGAGCCCATTTCAAAGCTAAACATTCTTTCTCCACCACAGAATACCTAGTTTCTCTGGGAAATAATTTCCGACTCAAATACACCACAGGATGCCTTTTTCCATTCTCTTCCTGCATCAGGACCGCTCCTAAACCTAATTCAGACGCATCTGTTTGAAGTACGAATTACTTTTCAAAATCAGGGCTACGCAAAATAGGTTCATCACTCAGCACCCCTTTTAACTCAAAGAATGCTTTTTCTGCGGGTACAGTCCATTGCACTTTGTTGGGATTAATCTTTTTAATTAAATCCGTTAACGGTGCCGCGATGGTCGAGAAATGGGGAATAAATTTTCGATACCAGCCAACCACACCAAGAAACGATCGAATTTGTTTCTTTGTAGCTGGAAGTGGACAAGACTGAATCGCCGTACTTTCTGCACTTGCGGCTTAATTACTCCATTCCCCAATGTGTACCCCAAGTACTCCGTCTCGGTTTTAACTAAGGAACATTTTGCGGGGTTAATGGTTAAACCGGCATCTTTAATTCGTTGGAAGACTGTTTGAAGATGGTGAAGATGATTCTCCCACGAGGTGCTGAATATCACCACATCATCTAAATAAGCCGCCACAAATTCTCCTAAACCATCCAATACCATATCCATCAATCTTTCGAAAGTCGGGGGTGCTCCGTGGAGCCCAAACGGTGACACCCGAAAATGCATTAGCCCCCTTGGTGTACGGAAAGCGGTCAACTCTCGAGACTCCAAGTCCAGAGGCACCTGCCAGTACCCTTTACTTAAATCGATGGTACTGATAAATTTAGCCTTACCCAGCTTTTCAATTAACTCCTCAATACGAGGCATAGGATATGAATCGAATTTAGAGACAGAATTTAAATAACGAAAATCGATACAAAACCTGAGGGTATTATCTTTTTTTGGCACCAATACCACCGGATTACACCATTCACTCTTTGATGGTTCCACTATACCCATTTGTTGCATCAATGTTACTTCATCTTCAAAAGCAGTCAGCAAGCGTTCAGGGATGCGGTAACTCATTCGTTTCGGCTGAGCCTTTTCTTTAAGCACAATTCTATGCTTTATCAGTGTGGTGTAGCCTGGTTGATTTTTAAACAACTCTGGATCACATAATTGCTGAAGTTGACCTCGCTGTTCTACAGAAAGATGATTCAAATCAACGGGCAGCGAAGGCTGACTACCCGGTAAGTATTGTTCTTCCGCCTCATCCTTAACCAGCCTGACTAAGTTAACGACTGTGCTCTCATTTTGCGAGTACCATTTCTTCAACAAATTTATGTGCAACACCCGATGTGTTCGTGCCTGTCCTGGGGTCGCGATCTCATATG